AAAAAAAGCACCGAAATGTGCGCTGCTTTTCAGTCTGGTTACTACTCTTTATGTCAGAACCGATACCGGTACCCGTCCCTAGTGAAGAAGACTCTCCATTAACATTAACAAATTGAAGTTTATTAGAGAGACTCAAATCACTGCAGTACCTTTAACATGCTCTAATTGCTAATAATTAATAATCGAATGCTGCACTGAGGTCTAGCAGGACATGCACAGAGATGAGTCCACTGTCATCGACCATAAGAAGATCATTTGTAACCTTCACTAATTCTGTTTCTGTACCTCTACAAATAAACAATTCTTCTTCCGATATTCTGTTAGCTGTTTTAAAACTACGCTTTCTAGAATTTTTGAGATAACAATAAGGTTGGTGATTATTAGCCTTTAATATAGCCTATAATTAGCTAAGACAGCTAGGTTAAGTGACAGCTTTTTAAGTAATGGTTTAATCACTGCCACCTTAAAGGCCTCTGGTACATAGCCCAGTAATAGGGAAATGATTTGGAGGAAGTAATTATTGAAATTAAATCAGAGGGAAAGAGTCTAAATAATTATTAATAGTACTGAAAGTAGCTTAATTCTTAAATGAACTTAAAATAGCCAGAGGAACGTAGCCTAGTTACAGACATTCAGTGTGTACAAAAGAAGCAGAGAAGTTCTTGTAGGGATAAAGCTCCTCTCTAAATCTTCTGTGATTAAATTATAAGAGGTGCCTTAAATTTTGCATGTGGCTGAAGCAGATCTTTCACCTCATTTCTTTTTGGTAAGGATCTGCTGCATCTCCCTCAGTTAAAGTTATGAGTCATATTTACATGGAACGTTTAATTTGTAGCAGGATACAGGCATTACATAATCTTACATAATTACCACTAATGTTAGTTTACTTAATGTAGAAAGAACTCTGCGGCTGATGTCAAAATCCTTTTATTCCGTTTTAGCTGTAGTTTGACTCGAGGGGTTGCACCTGTAGGTCATTCCGCTTATTTAACTAAACACGTCGAGCCAAAGATTTAAACAATTTCTCAGTACAAAATGTTGGATGTTCAGCTAAATCAGATTCTGTGATGTTTCAGTCCTGCTTTTGTTGAGCTACAGTATCTTACATCATGATAAAACCAAAATATGTTGTTTGTGGGATCCAGTTTTTGATAAGATAAATTCTGAAGGCCCTGGCAGACAGCTCCACGGCTGGCTTCCTTCTGTTACATAACACTTCTGTCAACTTCAGCCTCACTTGTGAAAACAGAAGAGAGTGAGGAGAGTAACCTACCAAGCGCTCGCCCTGGATTTTCCTACAACTCCCTAGAACATTTCTGTATGAGCATCACAGAACAGCAACTTCAGTCTTCTGTCATGTTCTTACAAAAAGGAAGTTGGCAGTTAAGACAGCTCAGTCTGAAAGATGAGAAGTAAAATGCCTGACTGTTTCACTAGCCAGATCCAAGTTTTGTTTTTTGTTTTTTTAAACTATCCAAATCTGAATTGGGCTTGTATATTGGTGCTGATTAGATTACACTATCAGTACTTGTTTTATAGCTCTTTAAAACCTCAGCCAGACAGTCTTATGTATGCTAAAGATATGTTGTTGGTTTGACCCTTGTTATATCAATTAGACACTTGTATGTCGTCACCCTTACTGTGTGCAAAATTACTTCACATGAGATAAAAAATTGCAGAGCATGTAAAGATCAGTTGATGTACTTTGTATCATTAGAGATTGAAAAGCAATTCCACAGCTGTAAATATATCCCACATAAAATGAAGGAATTGCCTGAGAAGACAATAAATGGTTTAAAGTAATAAAAAAAGATTATCAGGAAGCATCCTGATCATTTAAGTAGGATTCATCTTTGATAGAGATCTTACAAAGCAGGTCAATGGGACGCTGGACACGCTGGATACATTTTCACGTTAAAGTAAATAAGTGTTCAGTAAATACGCTTTTTCTGGATCCCCAAAAGCACTGGAGTTGTCACTGAACTTTTTTTAAACACTGCTGAAATGAAGTACCACTTCTAATTGTTTCCAGTGAAGCAGGTTGGTGATTTGTGTAACTTGGGGGCTCTTTGACTACATGAGGTTATGCAATAAGTCTCCAGGGTCTCTGCTGGTGCAATAATTAGTGCCTTGCTGCCTGTCAGGACGTTTCTAAGACAGTGAAAAGGCCTCCGTCTCTCTGGGATGCCTGGTAGTAGTTGAAGCAGGAAAATGACGTGAAATGTCAATTTGATAGAAGACAGTTGCCAAAAGCTGAAAACATTAGAGGCATGTCTGAGCAAATGCCCAGTGTTTTAATGGATCAGCAAAGACAGAGAGACCGTTTTATTTTATTTTAGTGTAACTCTGCTGTCACTCGGTGTACCTCTGGTGTTCTTCATGTAGACGGCTTTGTGGAGATATAAAAGGGAGCAGGTCCCACGGGATTCCTGTCATCATTTGGACTTAGTTGATTATCTTGCTTGTTAACAGATAAGAAACTGGAGAGTGAGGCTATAATCAAATGTAATCCACACATCAAACCATTACCACTTAAATATAGTTTGAAGCATTTCGTGTGTTTTTTTTTGTTTTTTTTCTCCACACCATATATTTGTTGTGTTGTCAAAAACGGATCATTTTCGCACATTTGTGATAGCGATAAGTCATCAGATCTAGAACACTCACCACTAAACAGATGTTTTCAGGTGAAAATGCATGCAGTCGATGTATTTCTTTGGAGCTTTGCTTTTAATGCATTTATCAAATATTCCCCTTTTCTTTTGTTTGTATATGTTTCAGTACATTTTTTGGCAAATTTGTATAAACAACTTACAACTTACATGCTACTTCAACAACTTACAAGTGGTTGGTCAGGTAGCTGCAACCAAGTAGTTGTTACACATCCAGAAAAAGAACCAAAAATCTTTTGCAGCAGATTCATGTGACATCGCAGTGCATAACATCAGGATATTGTTTTACAAGATCAACTGATATGTTTGGTAAACAAGGGGGAAAAATGTTGGTTATTCTAAAAATGTCCTCTAAAAAGTCTTGACAAGATTTACAGTTTGGTTTATCTTTTCTGTCACAAACACATGTGATGCTGCCTCACATGCGAATGATATTACAGTATGGTCATGCTTTTTCTGATAGATAAGGGAAGAATCCACATAACCAAATGTTTTTGCGCACACACACACATCACTGTACTTTCTTTTGTTCATCTTATATAAGTTGTGTAACAGTGAAGGATCTGAATCATTCTGCATCAGCAAAATTACAGTACTCGGTTAGTTTTGACTTCCCTTACAGGTTGGTAATTTTCAATTCCTAATTTGGAAACTCTAACATGACCAAGCTGTATTTTGTTGCATCTTTATGAGTTATTATTGTCAGAAAAACATGCCCTGTGGGGGGGGAGCATATAAATCTTCACTGTTTTAAAACACCAATGACAATATAATAGTATTCCTGGTGCTAAACCTGGTTGTTACACTTTACAAGCTGACAATAAGCATGTTATTACAACATCGGTTTTGGACTCTGTAATGCCTGATTTTGTTAAAGAGTTCTCTGACAGACATGAGCGTGTGAATGGGCTCGTTGATTGGATCCAGTGTCTCTCTTTCTCTCTGCTTTTGATATCAACTACAAAATTTACTTGCATGCAAAATTACTCCAAAGCAAGCAAAGCAAACTACAGAAAGCAAGACTGCCACCTAGTAGGTATTATAACTTGCAAAACTACTGTAATGCCTGGCATACCTTCCTGATCACCTCTACAAGAGGACTTAATTTGACAAACCTTTAGCTGCAAAAACGTGTGCCACACCTAAGCTACTGCCAAGACCTCTAAAGACCTAAGCATGCAAGCAAACACCTGTTTGTGAACCACAGTAGGGCTTTATCTTAACAATTATGCAAATATGAGAAAGGTGTGATTGTTATATAATAAATATAATTTTAAAAAATCCTGGTAAAAATGAATAAGCAAACCAAGTTAACCAAATACTGAAAATTGAACTGTATATTAACATGAATGGTTTTGAAGTAGTTTGAGTTGATAATTAACATATTCATAACTGCTGCTATGTGTGTCTTTAGGTCACCTGGACTTTGAGGGGCTCTTCCTGGTTAATGGCAATGCAGAGCGAGTGGATTGGTTGCGTCAGCGCTATGACAGTGGTGAGGAGGTGAAGCTAGAGAAGGAGGCCGATCTGGCGTCCGCTGTCAGTTTGCTCCGACTGTTCTTGCAGGAGCTTCCTGAGCCCGTTATCCCAACGGCTATACAGGGACGTATACTACAGCTCTATCAAGGTGTGTGACCGTGGCTGTGTTTCCTCTTCTCATGCTATTTTACGAATTTCTTCTACACTCAACCACAGTCTGTTTTTATCCAGTACAATGCAGTTAACCTCCTTTTTCACCCTGTCCTCCTAAAGTCCGGTTGGAGCTTTGAGTTTGTTCTGCTCAGTCCGTAAATGTACTTCCTATGAAAAGAGTGTTGACCATAGCTGTTATAAAAACAAGCGCACACTCTTCTGCATCATTTCTGGGTCTTCATCCAAGTTGATTTTGTTTTAAGCTGTTAAGGCTGTGCCCATGTAGGCTGATGCTGGTTATATAAGCTGCGAGTACACAGTACGGTGGTCTGCATGTAAGGAAAACTGGCTGAAACAAACTCTTTCATAACGAGAACCTGAATTATCTCTATGTTTGCATATCTGCTACGCTGATGCACAGCCTTTATCTTTTCCTTTCTTCATTCTTTCTGCCTCTGCTTGTCCACACTCTTCTCAAATTCAAAATCTAAGGTTGTGTTAATAATGTCCCAGAGAGAACTGCTGTCTTTCAGTGGTTATTAATTCTTCATTTTTGAGGGATTTTTGTGTATTTGGGTAAAAGATGATTGAAAGGCATGGGTTTCATTTCCCTTTTTTGTTTCAGCTCTTTGGCCTGTCCTCTTTCCCCTCTGTTTTTATCACAGATAATCTGCTCTAATCCTCTTGTCACAATGATGGTTGTTCCGGTTGCTGTCATCCAGATTATAGTAGAAGACTGGCTGTGTGTTTGTCGAGACTCCTTGTCATGCCATTTATTTCTCAGTGTATTATATTCTGTAATGGCACCACTGCACTTGAAAAAGGATTGCCTTTTTTGCACATTTTCCTCTCTGTCGCCCTCCGTCTCACCTAGTTTCACCTCTCCCAGAGGTGAAACTGAGCATAATGTTATCTGTGTGTGCAGTTTCTCTTGATTAGATTTTTTAAGGCTATCTGTGAAGGACCAAGAAGAACCCGATAACCCATAATTCACCCCACATTATCATTAGTTTTGAGAACAAGCTCTAAAAGCAACACAGACTACAACAGAAGTTCTAATAGTGATTCTGAAATAAGAGCTTACACCCTTTTCAACTAAAAATAAAATAATTACATAAGAGATCCTGTCTGTGGGGTCGAGCTCTTGCCAGCTGTGCTTCTTCATAGCGAGCACGACCTGCTGGTTCTCCCGGGAGCTGGTTTGCACAGTCCATCAAAAACCTAACGTTGTTTGATGATTCTAAATTGGCCATAGGTGTAAATACTCTTAGCCTTGTGATGACCTGTTGAGCTGTCCAGGGTGTCCCCTGCCTCTCGCCTAATGAGAGCTCCAGCCCCGGTGACGGTGAAGCGGAAGTGGTTAAGCAAAGAAATGAATGTATATTGGCTTAAGTAATGATATCCGTTTTTTCGTCTTCACATTGCTAGATTACGACAACGAAGAAGAGGTGTGTAGAAATTTGAAGTATCTGCTTCAGGATCTTCCCCAGTTGAACTACGGTCTGTTGCGTTTCCTGTGCCGCTTCCTGGCTAGCGTGGCGTCACTTCAGCAAAAGAGCTGGAACGTCGGAGCGCTGGCCGCCGTCTTTGGACCCGACATCTTCCAGTAAGATTCTTCTGCAGTTATTTAAGAATTTCGAATCGTAATTTTGATCATTGTACACAGCTACCGTCTCCATCTTACAGATGTTTACTTTTAACTTAATGAGGATGGTGTGGATATGTCACTAGTATATATTCAGTACTACATTACTTGTTTTAGAACTCCTGATGCTTGTAGGGATGCACCAATACCACTTTTTTGGAAACGAGTATGAGTACGAGTACTTGCATTTCAGTACTCGCCGATACCGATACCGAGTACTTAATAAAAACATGATTTAAATTTGCAGGTAACAGCTTTAGTCCTGTAATTTAACAAAAAACAAACAAACAAGGGACTAGTTTGGAATTAAGAACATTTATTTAAAATGAAAAGCATGTTGTATGCAACATATTACAGAATAAATAATTATAAAAAAACTAAATTTAATTTTAAATTTGTTCGTCTGTTTCTCTGTTTAGAAGTCTCACTAGCACAGTCACAGCTGGGATGACATCAGAGGCTAGTGCGTCGTAGCTGCTCCCTTTTTTAGTTAGTTCCTCAAAGGGGGCGAGGATGGCAACAGTCGTCTCCATATGAGCCCATTGGTGAGCGGTGAGATAGTCAGGGAGTTCGTGCTCGGACACGCCCAGCACTCGCTTTTGCTAAATGATGGACTGGAGCATGTAATACGTGCTGTTCCAGCACGTCTGTACGTCCTGCTGCAGTCTCTTTATTGGTTGGTTGAGCTGTCCCTGAATGTCCTCGAGGCGGGAGTAGGCTAAGGCGGAATGTTTAAAATGCCCAACTATTTTCCATCCCACTGCTATAGCATCAGCTATGCTCCTCTGTGCTAATAAGCGTAGGTAAACTCTTTCTACTCGTTGTCGTGTTGGGATTTTAGGTGCTTGATTAAATTACTTGTGTTAAATGCGCTACCTTTAGAGCCTCCTCTGGACAATTTCGCTGAGCACAATTTGCAGTCCGCCTTTGTTTTCGCGTCTTCGTTCACTTTGAAATAGTTCCACACAGCTGATATGTCTCGCCTCGCTTTCTCCCCGCTCTGAGCTGCAGCCGGGCCCTGGGGGCGGGCACTCGGCGCCTGTGATTAACCCCTTACATGCCGCTCAAACATAGACAGGTCTCAGACCGTGGTATCGGTCCTCGGTATCGGGGGACTTTTAGGAGTACTTTAGAAAATGTGGTATCGAGGCCGATACCGGTATCGGTGCATCCCTAGCTGCTTGTATTCAAAAGCTTCATTGTTACATCTTCAGTGGAAATGATTAATCAAGTGCAAATTATCAGATTATAAAGCTGTAAAGTCCGTGGAAGGAAACTCTTGAAGCCATATACCACATCACATTTAATGAAGCCACAGAATAGAGTGACAGCTGAATATCTATTTTTTTTTAAAAGAGTGAAAGAAGTTTTTATTTTTGGCACTTGCAGGAACACGTTTACACAGAAGTTAAAAAAAGAGGGGTGTTTATTCTCATGGGAGTATTATTAATCTCATGGGAAGCAGTGTGCAGCCAACTCAAACTTTTCTGTCATTTTCCATCTGCAGTCTGTCAACAGAAGGAGAGGACCTTCGGGACCAGGAGTCTGTCAGCAGAGTCCTGGCAGAGCTGCTGGACAATCAGGAGGGCTTGTTTGACTCAGAGGACGATGATGTCTCCACCACCAATGACTACAGCTCCATCAATGAACAGGTTCGACCCATCTCTCTTACACCACGCCTCTCAGTATTGTTGTTTCTGCCTTGCGTACTGTCGGTGTCCAATAATATGACAATAATTAGCATAGCAAATTTTCTACACTTGATTTTGCAAATGCTTTTGAATTTATTAATAACTGTGAATGGTGAAGATATTGTAAATATAGTTTGTGCTGTCGTGGCAAAACATTTTATCACAGTCCACAGAGAGGTCGTCTATTTTCAAGCTTACTCGTTAATGCAGTTTTTGGTCTTTCCAGCCCACACATGTCTTCCCTCCTGCTGTAACAGATTATTTTCCCCCTGGGATCAATAAAGTCTTCTTCATCTATTTTTTGTTCATCCCGGTCATTCTCCCATAGGGGTCTTTGTAGCTTTTCTTTTATCCTCAAACAAACACAGTCTCTAAATCTAGAGAGTGATGGTAAATGCCTTTTTAACCTGATATAATAATTAGAAATCTGCAAACAAAAACAAAGTACAAAACAATCAAATAGAAAAACAAGACGAATTTAAAATTTCTTGCCAAGTTATTTGCAGAAAATAAAACTTTTGTAAAACAGTTAATTTATTGGCATCAATCGTTACATATGAACAAAAGCGTGCTTTCACAAAAGCTGTTAGATTCCTCTTTGTCTTCCTCCTCTTTGTGTTTTCTTCGTCCTCTCTGGTGGCATTTGGCTGTAAAATGTGGCATTTAACCGTGCCAGGGTCAGAGGGGAAGTTTTTCAGCGCTGACGCACAGAGATAGCAGTCACATCTTATGAAAAGCGAAAGATGAAATTTATAAATGTCACCCAACAGCATAAAAGAATTTAAAAAGGCTTGAAGTGATTGTTCCATCTAACAAGCATGTTCTGTCTTGCGCTGGGGTCTTTTTTTTTTTTTATAAATAATTAAATTTTGTTGTTGGCATCAGCAGCAGTAAGTTAGATGTAATAAATGATCAACCTTAAAGGCTAACGTGAGAATAACAATTCTGCTTTATTTTGACTCCAGTATTAGAAATCTAGAAGACATCACATTAACTGATTCAAACCTGTTATGTACAAAAACTACAGTGTGTCTAACTGGAGTTATTAATTAGCTAGAAGATCAGGCTGAAGTTTTGCTGTAAGGAAATGTAAATAACACTGGTACCAGCTGTACCCACTTCCTCTTGGTAATGTTGAAATGTAAGCAGTGGCGTTTAAGGAAAACAATACAGCATTTTTTCTGTAAACAAAATTTTTCTCCGAATGATCTTGGTGTTCCCGCCCAAGGACCATGGCACACCCCTGCATACTTTACACAGAGCATTACAAGAATGTAGTTTTATAGAAACACCTGAGCCTAAACCAAACATTTTCCTCCGCTTTCTAACAGCTCGTTCTCTTTGCTGTCGTGCACAGTACAAAGAAAGGCGTAGTTAACTTTTAACTTTACAGTACCCTTGTGCTTTTGTGCGATAACAAAAATACAACAATAAAGAGGCAACCCTTGATCAGTATCTCAAATGCTGTGCTACTTTAATTTCAGAGTACGTTGTTTGCCACAGCAGGGACTCTTTAAAGATAGCCTAAAAATGTTGGAGTGAAAGGGCAGCCTGTCATTGTGAAAGTATGACCACAAAAAGAAAAAGAGAAACTTTGCTATATATCTACATTGTGTCACCTATTCAAAACCTTTCAGCTGCTTGCTTTGTTTGCTCCCCTCTCCCTATCTTTTATTCTTCGCTTCACACAGTTAGTGTGCTCTTAACCGAACTACTGCAGACTTTGCTTCCACTTGCCTCGTAATATTGAGTCCTTGGAGTTATTATCTGCCAAATCCTTCCTTTTATTCAAGGAAAAGTTTAAAGCCTTTGCCTTGCGAAAGACAACTAATTAGATTGTAATTGCGCTCTAAACAACAACAACATAAAGCACAAGTTCTTTCAAGCAACGTCATATCATTCCCTCTGTTAGCTGTTGACCTCGGTTTTATTGTCTGATTTGTCAGATGAATGAGACTATAATCTAAGAGACACAATGGAGGAGGTGAGAGCAGATGAAGAATGAGAAGACAGAAGCAAATCTGTAAAGACATGTCTGTGCACTGATCCATGTGTCTTATGTAATAGAGAGGGCAAAAAAGTGGGTGGTTTGAAGAAGGAGGGGGAGAGAAAGCAGCCAGGAAGATAGGGGAGAAATGACAAGAGTGCAGAGACAAAAGAGGAATAACTGAAGGGAAGGAGAGAGGGAGGGAGGTAGAGGTGGTGAGACAGGGGAGGAGGATGATGTAACCATGTAACTCACACCTCCAGTCCCTGCTCTACACCGGGGATGACTCTCATGAAGGGGATTATCTCCCACACACACCTGCTTTCACACAGGAGACCTTGAATCAAGCCTGGTTACAAACTAAAGAGTAAGTTGAAAATGCTTGGTCGAGCCTAGCTAGCACACATAAAAGGAGCCAATTCATCCTAAGAAATGGAGAGACATTGTAAAAGCAGCGTAACAGAGAAGTACATGAACAATAATGAGCGGAGAAAGGTGGAAGGCAGGTGTTGTTTTTATGGTGTGTTTGTGCTCAACTTTGGAGCACAGCAAGGTGGGAATAGGTCTGACAAAGATGAATATAAAGATGGATTTTAGCTTGTTTATCGCACAATCGGAGTCAGTTGAATTTCTACTTGGGTGACAACAAGAGTACGCTGATGCTTGTTGCTGTTGCAAATAAAAGGTTTGTTTTTTAGTTCACACTTCTTAGTTTCAGGGTTTCTGCTTGGAATATGAAAGAAAAATATTCTGGATTCTCTACTGAGATGGCTTGTGACATTTTTGGTGCAGCTTAGCTTGGCTTGGCTGGACTGTCTGATAGTGTGTTTTGATTCCTTAGCCCACATTTTCTTTGGATACACACCAGCTTGAAAATATATTATTGCTCTAATCAACCACAATCCTGTGGCACTAAAATGCTGCTCTGTTGTGACTCATAGCTTTTAGACAGACAGCGACACTGCAGTACCAATATTACAAACATAAAAAGTGTGCACACTGTCCCATCGGAATAATAATATCTGTGATGCACAGTGCCTTGCGTAGTGGGGCCACAGTTGATATTTCTGCAGATTAAATGAGGCTTGTAGGCTTGAAGTTAATTTGACTGCTGAACCTCAGACCTTTTCCTCTTGAGCTCTTTTCTTGTTACGTAATTGTTCTGTTTCATGTCTCAATAAGACCTCAGATCCCTTTGTACATCCCCTGTGCCCGAAGTGGACATAAGTTAAGGCTTCAGCAACAGATGTTTTATAATTCATTTGTTAGGCAGCTTGTGAGAAGACTTAGTATGTGGGTAGTTGTTTCTGTTATTACTTTTCTGCTCCCTGCTGCGTTGCTGTATGACCCTTTAATTGCACCAGGTGTCATTTCTGTTTAATGCAGAGCTGCAACGATTCATGGAGTAATTCATAGAATTCTCTTACAAAAAATTCTCGATACAAATTCCTTTCTTTGACTGCTTTTGTGCCGTTGTCACCGTAGGAACGTGAGCGCTTTGCGACTTAAAGCAGACCTGCAGTACCAACAGATTTAGGAGCAGAATAAAAAGTTTAACAACATTAAGCCCACACAGTTTTAAACAAAAACCCTGATGACACAACAGCAGCAGCAGTGATGATGATGCTGGCACAGTTTAACGTGTAGTGCGGACTCTGTTTACACACCGCGAAAAGAAAAGAGGAGGAGCCATTACCGAGACTTGCATCCAAAACAGCAGCGCTGTTCCTGTGATCACCATTTAAACCTTTATTGGAAAAATGCTGGCAGAGTCCAACAAACGCTGACATGAGGAAAATTGAACTCTGAAGCTGCTCCATCCACCGCTGTTTGTTTTAAGACAGCAAAAAAATCTTCACTAACGTATATTAAAATGTGCAGATGAACTGTTGACTATCAAAATCGTCACTACTCTTCTATGTCACTACCCGATCCGTACCGGAAACCCAATCTCCTCATCAAAAAACACTAAGGCTCTCAAGACTGTTAATATCTATAACCGATTGAAACTGCTAACTTGATTTTGGCTCTTGCAAACTTTTGTTTATTTATGTTCCCCTTAATTTATTTTATTTTTTGTACTCACTTTTGTCTCACTGTCCTTGTCACTCTTTCTGTTCCTCATTGTACGTGCTTTGTCTCTAGGGGCCACCGTACTGCTCTTACTACCAAGTGCAAATTATTATTTCAGCAGAAATATTGACTTATATGAGGCTGGTACAATCCAAAAATTTGTCAAACCCACATATTTCTGTCTCCTCAGCGGGACGTGTGTGCCAGGAGATAAAACTAAATGTTTTACTATGATTCCGCATGCTATTCTCCATCATGAACTGTTTGTCTCATTACTGAACAGTTGTTCAAGTTCCTGTCTGACTGCAGTTTTGTGCCAAAGCCTGTTCATAATGTATCGTTTTAGCTCAGGCA